AAAGAGAGGGGAGGTAAGATCAATTTGTTTGGACCAAAGTAGCGGAACGCCACGTCGCCCTTTGCCGTTTTCAAGTGAATTCAAGAAAAGTGCTAAATTTCCCCTTCCGTCCCATGCAGCCCACGCTCTCTCTACGCGCGCTACCGTTTTGCAACACGCCCTAGCCAGGACCACCCTACCTAGCATGCATCATTTTTTTTTGCATATATGTGAAAAATCCGACCCAGATCATTTAACCCTCGCCGGACCTATTGGTTTTCTACATACGCCTCCGCCGAGGGGAGTAGGACACCCGTCGCCGTTACACCACTAAGGGAGCTAGAACCTCGCGGAAAAACGAGCGTGTGCACCGTTACGAGACACAGCGATTGGTACCCGCTTTTAAGGTTTCAGGTCAAACGGTGACCTCTGAGGTCAGGTCAAATGGCCCAAGGCACGGGTTCGGTTTTTGGTAAATAACTTCGCAAAAATAGCCGCAGAGCCATAATTTTGGCATCATCGTGCTCGTCTATCTCAGGCACGTCGAGTGGTATACTTTTTGTTCGGGTGAAGTCAACTTATTGTGTTGACCTCGGGTCAAAGCCAAATCAGAGCCCCTCAGGTCACGAAGATGGTCGAAATAGGTCATGTCGCATATCATTCAATTCGGCAGGCCTACCCGAGTCCAGTGGTGGCTTTTCCCAATCGTTAGCTCAATTTGATCGGGGGTTATTGACAAAAAAAAAACTACTATGACCCTAATGACATCATAAATGACGTCACGCCATGCAAAAGTAAAGCATGGGATCTTACAAGGAGCGCATGAAGTAACTTGCTTGTGCTTGAGATAGTTTAACCCGCGCATGACTAGGGGGCTCTACAGAGCCCCCCCTCCCGTTTTTCGGCAATATCTTCTCAACCGTTTCACGGATCAACACGAAACTTGCAGTGCCCTCAGCGGCATCAATTTGACACCTTGTGTTGAAATTTCAACTTTCTAGCTACCATAGTTTGGCCGTAAATGACGTCAGAGTGACGTCATGTCGGCCGATTTTGATGCAAAATATTGAATTACGGCAAACGCTCTCAAGGGCTCAGTTTTAAAGCTAGATCCAATTTCTTTGCATCAGTGGACTACAAATATAAGTAGCTATCAAACTGCTATCTCGAATTTTCGAAATTTGGATTTTTTTGAAAAATATATTTTTATAATAACAAAAAAATATATTTTTGATTTTTTCAAAAAGTTTTTTGTTTTTCGCAAAAACCAGATTATATGTGATAGAACACACACTGATTAACTACTCTAGCAAGTTTCAGCCCAATGCCTTCAAAAATAGCCAAGTTATTTCATATTTACATTATTGTCAAAAATTTACAATTATATATTTTTCAAAACCATTTTTCAGTGCATTTTTGACATCATACAGCAATATAAATGACATCATCGTGTTTCTGAGCTCAAACTGCATCTGATAGACACCTTTTTTGTTGAAAGATTTCATTTTCAAAATTTGACCTTTTCTGACCTGAAATTGACCTGACCCCCGGTAAATTCAGCTGAAAATGACCTCAAATGACCCTGACGACATTATTTTTGAAATCTACGTGTAAAATGAGCCATAAAACATGCGTCACTTGACCGATACATGATATACAATTTTCGTGACCTAGGATGACCTAACCTTGACCTGAAAAATTCGAAGTAAAAGTTCGGTACCCTCAGGGTATCTAAGTCATATACCAAGAAGCTCGTAAACCAAAAATGAGCCTGATCGGACTTGTCAGTCGGCGGTCAGAGCCTAAATTGTAAACAAGCAAAAAATGCCGATAATTTCTACTTTGACCTGACCTGTGACGTCATCGGTGACCTCGAGGTCAATGAAAATAGGATCCGTTCGACAGTTTTTCCGGGGCTATCAGACGCCGTATGAATTTTGTCGATCGGCCTAGTAGTTTCGGAGATAGGAGGGGGGGGGCTCTGGAGAGCCCCCCCTCAGTCACTCGCGTTATGGAAAATAAAAAAGGAAAAAAAAGTAATGCGCGAGTTAACCCGCGCCCCGCTGGGGGGGGGGGCAGAATCCGCCCCTCCCGTTTTTCGTCAATTACTTCCAAACGCGTTACGCCAGCGACGTCAACTTTCAGTACCTTATTATACATCAATTTAAGACGTTTCCTGAAAACTTGAGCGAAATCTGTTGGAAATTTTTTGAGGAAATGACGTTTAAAGGAAAAGGGCCACCTTTAACATGGGGATTGAAACTGAGATAGCCATCTTGTAGCCCGTGTCCGAAAACCTATCTGTCTACCTCCTTACGGCCGATTTCGGCCTCCATTCGTAGTTATCGGCAATTTTAAAAGAAAATACGCCAGGAATGCGTCCTTATCCCAGGAATGCGTTCTTATCCGACAATACAGCCACCCGCGGCGAGGCTTTGGTTTTTTACCAATCAGCTCCAACCAGCTCAGCTTTAAAGGTAGTGTGCCACCTTTGAAAGATTTCCCATTTTATTTTTCCTAGGATAAGAAGCTTCTGTTTTTACCTAATATCGCAAAAAAAAATCAAAAATGGGCCTGGAATAGTGCCTTTTTCGCCTAAAAGTTTTTCGGTTTTTAGATATGTATAACAACTGTAGTGGGCTCACCTGCAAACAGGCGTCGGGCAACAATCGCGAATGCGGCGCACTTGTGACAATAAGCAAAGGTCATTATAGTGTTACGACCATATGACGTACGGGAATGAGTTATCAGCTGTCTAATCGTAGACAACACAATGTCGAGCCTTAAACTGTAAGCCCGTATTGGTATTGTTTCTTTTATTTGGCTGTCGAACATTATTTATGGTTTGAAATATGATTTTATGTAAAATAATTGATATGAAAAAGCCGTCTTATAAGTTATGACCCCATTTCACCACACGCAAGTGGCAGAAATGACAATGATCAGCTGACGCATTTTTCTTGGCCGAAGTCAGAGCGCGCGGCCCGACGCACCACGCGTATTTGGAAATTCCGACCTCGACGAGCATCAGAAGCCACCTAACAGGCGTGTTCGAAACCGCAGGAGATGATGATGAACGGGTTTATCGAAACTTGATTGGATGAGCATATCGGTAATAGCGATTTCAGTGTGTGCATTTATTGTTCATAGTGGTGTGAAATGTGGTTGGGGTACGACCGACAACCCGTCGGGGCGAATTTCGCACTGGGGTACTCAAAATTTGAAGAATTTAAGACGTTTCCATGAGTTTTGAAGGTATGGATAAGTTCTAAAAATCCGGTTCTCCTTATCTGGGCCATTAACTCCATACGGTCCAAGAAAGCTGGCACACTACCTTTAACCAATCAGCTTATCTGACATAATCCGACGAGTCTGTCTTCTGAACGCTGATTGGCTTGAGTGTGACGTCATCGCTATGCCATCATACAGTAGGTGCCGTAGAGAGTATCAACATAGTACCAATATGTTAAATAGTTTTAAATACTTTTTCGCGAATTGTGCACTTCTGGCACCAGTTTTAAAAAGAAAATGAAAAACAATAATGTCAAAATGAAAAACAACGATATCTTCATATTTCACGAAGGTGGCCCTTTTCCTTTAAGTGACGTCATGTCCGCCATTTTCGCCTAAAAAACGGAAAAATTTCAAACGTCGCTAACATATTCATTTTTAAAGGAATCAAGACGCAATAAAAAAGGTTAAGCATGATTTTACTTTGTCTATCAAATAGCTATCACGTTTTTTGAAAATCTTGGATTTTGACACTTTTTTCATCAAAAAACTGACTTTTTTGGAAAATAATTATAAAATCAAAAATTTTGAGTGTATAGAAAAACCGGAATATATGTCAGAGAAGTGGTCTATGTGCACCTACATACCAATTTTTAGACGAACCGGTTGAAAAATGTGGGAGTTATTCAAAATGTTATGACGTCACGAGTACGACACACAAATTTTTTGAAAAAAAATGAATTTTTGGAAGTTCTAGACCTCGTAGGAAACAAAGTAGCACCATTCGATTCACCGTGAAAAACTGCATCAGATAAACACCTTTTTAGGCCTTAACAACCAACTTCAAAATTTGACCTCACTTGACCTGACCTTGACCTGACCTTGACCTGAAATGCATCCAGATGTGGTACATATCGCTTATTGAGTGTGTCTATTGAATTCTATGAATAAAATGACCCATAAAACATGTGTCGCACATGCCCTTTTCTATATTTCGTTTTTGGTGATCTGACCTGACCTTGACCTTGACCTTTGCATGACATTGTATGCAACGAATATTGTCTTGGTAGCCTTCTTGGTAGCCTAAGAACACGTTTTGGGCAATCAGTCTCAGTCCATTCTTCGGCAACTACGGTGCAAGGCCGATACTGTAGAAACTTGCATTTTGTACCCTTGACCTGACCTTGACCTGACCTCTAACCTACTTAAGCAAAAAATGGCTCTTTAGATCCGCCTTGTTGAGAGCTTTCGATGGCCGTTTTCCCTGTCTTTCTACGACCATCGGTTCGGAAGTTAGACAGGGGGCAGAATCTGCCCCCTCCCCCCCCCCCCCCAGCAGGGCACGTATGGCTGAAAAGCCCAGCGGGGCGCGGGCTAATATAGGTATAGCATGGATGAGATAATGAGATAGTGTTATCTCATCCATGAGTATAGTATATTTCGCTCAATCTGACTAGCAATAGGTCATAGTGCGACTATTTTAAGCGTACTATAACATTGTCGAAAGTCTCTTGAATAAATATATCACCTTCCATCTCCAGCCTATTTTTTTTTAAGATCGATGACGATTTAGTTTTTTTTTTGCGTTTTAGTGAAAACTGAAAAGTGCATGTGGAAACCATGTTGGGTATAGCCTAGCTTGCTCCACTTCAAATGGCCATCGTAATGTTTGCATTGCTATAATAGTTATTGTTTCTGTTCGTCTCATGCACTATTTTCATTTGAACTTGAAGTGATCCACCATTCCTATTAGTTAATAAAAACAGCAACAACAACAAGGAAACAACAGATTCAATGTAGTTTTGCATGCATTCTTATATTTATGGTTACATTGCTACTACATCACGAACTTTTCGAAGCATTATTTCACGAAACATTCGAACACTTTTGATGTTCAATCGTTTGATTTAGTTATCACGAATAATTCAACAACAGCATTAATAATAAAATTACAATTACCGTGCAACCAACAACTTAACGTGTTCCATAATAATAAAATAACAATTACCGTGCAACCAACAGCTTAACGTGTTCCAATCTATCGTCATTAAAATAAAGTAGCAACTGCTATATATCAAGAAGCGAAAACAAACTTTCGTTGATGATAACATCACTGCAACAGTGACCAGTGTATGAGGAAGGAAATATTTAAACAAATCAAATTCAATCAATCGCCGCACAGCCGCCAGTCGCAGCTTGAGCTGAGCCGTCACACAAGCTACGTGCGTGACGTGGTGCTCGGCGTGACGCGACCTGTCACAGAGCGCGTCACGTCACTGTTTGGCCTGTCTCCGTGACGGTCGGCGCTGGCCCCACGTGGTCAGCTGACAGCGGCCCGGGTCAGCAGTTTTCAGCCGACTTTCCATTGACGTGGCACTTCTAGATCGCGGATAGAAGGCACATGACACGTGGGTGACCTCACGTGACCTCACGTGACCTGTGCAGGTGGAATGGGGCCCGGCACTTTCTCTCGGCGCTCCCCGGGCGTGGCAAGTTTGGCTGGCTCGCCAGACATCTGAAATGACGGCTGATTCTGGTCATCTGGCTAACATCAGTCAGTGCATGGCCGATCGGCCACACCTACCTAACTCGTTACTCGGGTCAGCATGCCAGAAAAATGTCACGTAATTGCTTGAAAGACCCCTGTAAGGCAGAATAAACAAGATTGCAGAACATATTGCCATTCTACATTGAGGGGGATTGTTGTTAACCATACTATTTGTTTTGAACCACTTGTGACAAGCCGTAAGTAGATTACGAGCCCACTGGGACCCACGCACACATGGGTGCCACCTCTTCCCATCCCCAAACACACACGCAGTCCACACACACCTACGGCTCATAGTCCGGCGTCGCCAGAGATCGCCACGTGTCACTCCGGCTCTGGGCGGGGGCGGCCGGCGGATGCGGCGGCGTGTCTCACGGCCGCGCCGGCTGGAGGCACTCAGACGTCCCCGGGGGCTGACATGCGTCACTGCTTCCCACCGGAGCCAGGTGCCAGTGGAACGGTGTGTGTGTGCACCGTTAGGAGAGGTACCGGTTTTCCGGGCGTCAAATGCCGCAGCTCTACCGGCTCCGCTGGGTGAAAATGCTGCGGGTCTGTCTGCAGCATCGTTCCAACGTGGCTGGTCTGACCTTCGTAGAACGGTTCTAGGTGAACTCGACTGGTGACCTATAACACACCGGACAGAGCGGGTTAGAAAGGGAAACTGGTAATTTGATCGGAAAAAGATGCTCGTCTCGACCAGAACGAATGAGGAGGTTTTACATCAAACTTGTTACGGCGGAGTCTAATGAACGGTACCGGGGGACCACGTCATGGGACAAGGGGACATCGGAACACCGGGACTGTATAGCTACTATAGGGAATTATAAGCATCTTTCAGGTTGAAAGGATGAAAGTCAAAATAGTTGAAATATTGCAACCGCTTGGGATTTCTTTGACTTGCGGTAACCCTTAACCCTCGCCGGCCGAGGGGGGGGGGGGACGGGTGCCGTCCTCCCCCATAGGGTTTTTTCGTGATAGCTCCGAACAGGCTGGCGATAGAGAGCTGAAACTTGGCATACCTGACCTTTGATCCAAGCCGCATGTTTTGACACCAACCGCATTTTTGGGTCAGGTCAGGTCACTGACCTATGACGTCATAAGTGAACCTCTGCACGGTCTTCAGATGTCGCAACTTCGCAACGCCCTCACTGCCAGAGGAGATGTCACAGGGAAATGAAACTTGCAGGATCTAGTATCCATTATGAGTCTCACAACTTGTATATCTCGGATTTTTCCTAGAGGTCATATGAGGTCAGGTCATTTTCGTGACCTCACCATTGTAAGTCAATGGGGAAAAATTCAAACTGCTATTCTGGCGCCGGGAACGATCTCCAACTATCTCAAGCACACAAAATCGTGGTTTGATGCACTCCTTGCAAGGTTAGATGCTTCACTTTTGCAATGTTGACCTTCCGTGACGTCATTTATGACGTCATCAAGGTCATATTAGTTTTTCGTCAATAACTCCCGATCAAATTGAGCTAGCGAGTCGGGAAAGCCACCAATGGACTCAGGAAGACCTGCCGAATCGAATGATATGCGACATGACATCTTTCGACCAACTTCGTGACCTGGGGGTGCTGACCTGACCTTGACGAGGTCAACACTCCAAGTTGACCTGACCCGGACAAAAAGTATATCATTCGACGCGCCTGATCAAGGCGAACACGATGCTGCCAAAATCGCGGCTCTGCGGCCGTTTTTTGCGAAGTTATTCACCAAAAACTGAACCGTACCCTGGGGCACTTGACCTGACCTCAGAGGTCACCGGTTGACCTAGGACCTTAAAATCGGGTACCAATCTCTGCGTCTCGTAACGGCGCACACGCTCGTTTTTTTCCGCGACGCGCTAGCTCCACCAGGGGCGAAACGGCGAGGGGGGGTCGTACCCGCCCCCCCCCCCTCGGCCGGCGCGTATGTAGAAAACCAATAGGTCCGGCGAGGGTTAAAATTTTTAAAGTTTGACAGCCGATTCTGATCGTGGAGCGGACAACATAGGTAAAAAAGTACATCAACAGGAAGTTGCATAAAGCGATACCTAAATCTCTTTTCATTCAAGTAATAGGCAACCCAGTCGGTCTAGGATATCTCCCCCTTTGACTAATGGTCCAGCAGATAGGTAAATATGACGTCAGTTAGCACAGCCGGTTGCACGGTGACGTCACTGACTGGTGACGTCACAGCTCGGTGGGTGGCGGCGGAACGGCATTGACCCGCCGCTGGCTGACCCGCTCGGAAGCCGTGGAAGCGCCGCAGTGATCCAGTTAGCTGACCGGTCCTTACCCGGTAGTAGGGGAAAGGGAGGGGTGCTGTGCGGGCCTCGCGGGGTGGTAAGATGTGACCAGGGCTGGGTGGGAAAGGCGCGGGCGCAAGACAAATTGACTACTACAGCAAACGTGCTCAATCAAAGTTTTATAACGGAAAGGAGGGAGTGATAAGTCCAGGTTGAGGTAACGTGCATTCATGCAAAAAGAAAGAAAAACGCCAATGCCACTTAAAAGAAAGAAATGAAAGCAATGCCATTTAACTCAGCCGACTGAAGGGTATTTTTTGTCTGGTTTAGAAAAAGGGACCCTTTCAACTCACCATAGGACCTACGCCTACTGCATAGTGCATACCTATGCATAACGGTTAACCCAGCCAAAGGATCTCTAGAGAGATCATGAAAGCCCCTTTCATGTCGTAGCTTATACCTAAATAACGTTTGCCATAAAGAATATTAGAAAATTGAACATGTTCTCAATTTACCATACGAACCAACGGCCAAAGAGCATTCGGAGGGCCTGAGAGATCTGAATCTGACCCTCTGATAGCTCAGTAGGTAGGTAACTGACTATATAGCAATAAGGCAATATTTTCTACGGCATGAAAATCATTCGCAAATGATGACGGCATATACGGTGTCGTTCTAAATGGCTGTTCAGTGACTATGTATGTACATTGTACAGAATATGACAGAAAAAAACAAATCGGCACACAGAGAGAAAATCATGCTGAAGGACTATGGAAAGTATGTTGAAAGTATTACCTTTGGCCGGTCCGAGCAAGCCAGCGATTGACAGAAACAAGAGAAAAGAGCGAAAGACAGAGACAAGAAGATGATAACGATACGAAACAAGTAGGTACCTACACAGATGTCGATGAACTAAACAGCGAGTATCATCACACAGCACAGGCGATACAACAAATAGTGAATTATCATCCACATTTTCACTGTAGGATATAGGTTACACCCTGGGTAAATGTAAGTAACAGCAACTCGCAGACTATTTAAATGACCTCAGGATGAGCCATCTGTCTCCCCTAATTCAACACTGCAAAAATGGTCAAACAAAAAAGCATAAGCAATTAGCACTCAGCAGGCCTCGGATATGCAAGGTATACGGACTGGCTACCGACTACAAGAAAAACGACTATGCATACAGGAACCATATCTCGATGACAAGCAGCACAGCAGGCATTTATACCTTTTGACATATTCATGCAGAGCTAACTGGTGCGGTTGGGTGAAACGTATGTAGTAGTATACTGCAGGAACCAGGAACATTAAAAGATAATGGCATACTTTTTTATAAATCGCCCTTTTTGAACAAGAGAAAGCGGATAACTAAATCACTTTTGTTGTTTTCGTTACGAAGCCTTTTGCTGTTGGATTATTAGGCGTATTTACGTATGCCTAGGGATGTGAACTTGAGTGAATAATATGCACGGTTCACTTCGTATGAATACAATTGGTAGGTACTTGTCAAGGCAAGAACAGGCAAAAGGAAAATAAATAAGTACAACGATAATATTTAAATCACGCGGCGATTTCACTTATATCAGGTATAGGTAGGTACCCTATTTCATACAAATGCCACCAATGTCCAACAGTGCATACCTACTCAAGAACCAATAAAAAGGCAAAGCAGCATAAATAACATTGAAGAACTACAATGAAGCTTTTGCAAATGCATCCACAAACATCTACTGGAACGTTTCAATGAGGTCATCAACGATTTTTCAACAGCTTATTGCATGCCGGAAGAGTCGTAACTGATGACTAGAGCTCGATATCACAGCACTGGGTGCATTTACTAACTAGCATCATGCAGCCCAGCTGAGGTAAGAAGGTGCCGGATAGGTGCAGGACGGTGTCCGGCGAACATGCTGCCCTCCTCCAGAGTCCTCTAGTCCTGCGCCACCCTGGCGATGCACAGCTGCAGGTCGTGGAAGTCCCAGTAGGAAGTGAAGTGGAAGGCCATGTTGGAGAGCACCATGCACGTCTCGAAGATGGCGAACAGCGAGTACACGCCCGGCTCGCAGTAGGTGTTGTGCCGCACAAACAGGTACATGGCCACTACCAGGCTGAACACGTTCAGGGTGAGGAGGCGCTGCTTCCAGCGCAGCGAGGTCTGCTCGTGCGGCGGGGGTGGCGCGGCGCGGCACCGCGACAACAGCGCCGTCACCAGCACCATGTACGCCTCGGAGGCGGCCACGAACACGATGAACGACACCTTGTGCAGTGTGTAGTGTTCCAACGAGCCGACAAACGACACCCCAGAGAGGCCGGCCTGCTCGAGGGCGTACAGCAGCAGGCAGGTGGCCGTCAGGCGGCGGCAGCGCGGCGACTGGCGCAGCACGCGCGCCAGGTGCGCGTGCGTCAGGTAACCGAGCAGCACGCGCGGCGCCAGATGCAGCGCCAGCAGCGCGCGCCAGATGAACTTTTGCGGCGAGAACTTGCCGGCAGCAGACGAGATGGAGGGGAAGAAGTTGAAGACCAGACAGTGCGTCCGGTTGGCCAGGTCGAAGTGCATGTAGAGCGACAGGGCGTAGCAGAGGGTGAGCGCCAGCAGCGGCAGCAGCACGGTGACGGCGGCCAGGTGACGCACCAGCACCACCCGGGCCTGCCCGCCGGCGACCCGGTCCGCCGGCTGGCCCTGCCGCCAGAGGCCAGACCCCATCCGACCTCAGACCAGAGCACATCAACAACAGAACGCATCGGCATCGGCACCTTCTTGGAAGCTTAGGCTCAAAGTAGAGTCCGACGTGGTGAATGGTGATTGATACTTTTTCAAAAGTGCCAGGTGCCTAACGATTGATATTTGACATATTCCAATGCCTTTTTGGTAGTTTTTGAGTTAGGGAATCCTCCAAAATTGGTACCTACATATCCAAAACAATGCCAGTGTCATTTACGCATTTATTAAACAGCAAACGTCGAGGAAGTGTAATGCTTATTGCTTACCTATAAGCGATCGTTTGAAAACGCACGCTTTTTAGCATCGACTGTCTATGACCCGGACCCGAAAGGCGAAAGCTACCCCTCCTTTTTTGCAGATTATAAGAGAGGATTCAGGAAGAAATCCGCTACGAATCGCCGTATTGATTTTGCCTAGACTATTCTTGTAGTAGAGAAAATCGGGAACAAGCCTTTGGCATGTAAATGTCTCGTGATGCCTTCTAATTGGCCGTTGATATTAAACGGTCAATCAATTCTCTCCTAGTCCTCTGGACTGGTGGCGCAAAATTGGACAGAAGCCTCAGGCGTGACGTCTCACAATACATGTAACGTTTACCTTCTACAGACAACGACAGGTTATAGGTGCCCTTCAGAACTCATACTGAAATAGGGAGCACCGCCGCCGCTCGAAACGGGCTCTCGTAACCGGTCGGCTCAAATTGCGGGAAACGGATACCTACTTAGGTAGGGGCTACAACGCTAGTAGATAACTTCTTCTTTTTTTCTAAAAGCGCTTAACTTTGCATTATGTATTCCATAGACGGCGGAGGGGGGGGGGGGGGCACCGGGGCACCGTGCCCCCTTGATTTTGAGGTTTTTACATTAGCCCTATGGGCGTCGCATGGAAAGAATGGGAGGTGTTCCATCGCTACTGTAAATACGTTAAAGGGACCCTGCCACCTTCAAAAAAGTTATGAATTGGCATGAAAGTGATGTCGCTCAGTTCAGAAAGAGCGAAAACGAATATCTACCAAATTTCATCCAAAAATATTCACCGGTTTTCAAGATATTATACTTTTACTTTTGTTTACTTTTTTGGGATCTCCGCTGTTTCTAGCGACTTTATTTAAGAAGTGCGGCGTTTGCGGCAGATGCTGCGCGCAAATACCATATACCACCGCGTGCTACAAAGCGTTTTAGTCAAACATTTAAAAATCGTTAGATATCTGCGCTGACGTCACACATTCAGAGGGGTATTCCTAAGCATTAGCCCCTCTGAATCAAAATGCTGCAATTTTGAAATTCAATATTTCCGATTTAAGGCATTTCTCGATGTTGTGAGTGCCGAAACCGGTAATTGTGAGCCAGGGACCCCATTTTGGCTATCTCAACTCAAATCTAATGTTAAGGTGGGAGGGTCCCTTTAAATTAACTTTTGAGCTTTGTGTGCACGGAAATGAGTAAGTTAACTTATGTTATGCCCAGATTACGTCGTGCACAATAGATATGTGTCGCTGTCGGGCTTTTTGCACCACGAGCTGGGGGGGAGGGGGAGAGAGAGAGAGAGAGAGAGAGAGAGAGAGAGAGAGAGAGAGAGAGAGAGAGAGAGAGAGAGAGAGAGAGAGAGAGAGAGAGAGAGAGAGAGAGAGAGAGAGAGAGAGAGAGAGAGAGAGAGAGAGAGAGATAGATAGAGAGAGAGAGAGAGAGAGAGAGAGAGAGAGAGAGAGAGAGAGAGAGAGAGAGAGAGAGAGAGAGAGAGAGAGAGAGAGAGAGAGAGAGAGAGAGGGAGAGAGGGAGAGAGGGAGAGAGGGAGAGAGGGAGAGAGGGAGAGAGAGAGAAAGAGAGAAAGAGAGAGACCTTAAGTGTCAACTCCTCCAACAAATTACAATAAACTCACGTTTTGTTCCGGCTTCATCCGCAACTAGCGGGGAGACCCGGCGGGACCGTGACTCGGCGCCGCATTGCTGCAGAAATTTCCCCTCCCGGACCGAGGCGACGACAGCCCTATAAATCGATAAAGAGGTCAGTACGAAGCCACAATCCTACTAAATTGAAAGAAGTGCTAAATTTACCACTGAAAACTTTTTAAAAAAGTTTTCAAAAAAAAATTCAATGTTCTTCTTTACAAATTAGGCCAAAATTGAAAGGACTTCAAATTGCTTGCATGATGAAATAAATGCCGTGAAATAGAAATGAAAGGGACTATCAATAACATTGGTTTCTAGCAGGAAGAATCTAGTAGCTTAATTTGGTAGCAACATCTTGTGCTGCTACAAGGACGGCGCGTAAGTTACAAAACAAAACTGAAGCATATACACGGCCAGTACACGGCCTTGTAATGAAAAAATATACGTACATGGAGCATAGATCAGTAGGCGGAACTATGGTCAAGCGTACCCATTTTCGGGAACGCATTTTCGTTCCCATAATTGGGAACGATAAACCCAAATATGGGAACGCCATGTAGGCATTATTTAAAACAAGAAAAAGAACCGTTAAATGACGTCCAAAAAATATAAAACGATCGTGAACCGCCTGATAGTTGTCTCAATATTGTTGGGAAAGAGTTTGATATTGTAAGGCCCATCGTAGTTTCAAATCGTTCCCCTATTTCTAAAGCAGTCCATCACCCGGGCCGCGAGCCCAAATTTGGGAACGCTCTCGTACACTGGCGCTGCAAGCGTTCCTTATTATGGGAACGGCGTACCCAAAATTGGGAACGATTTCACCGACGCCTTTCAAGGGCTCTTTTCATTAACAAGCATCACGTCCAACGCCGCAAATTATTGTTAACGCAACAATCATCAGATGACCTTTCCGGCAAGACCGTTGCATGTTTCACCCGGTCTTCTGCGCTTTTATTCCCGTCGATCTCGCAGCGGGCACGCCCCCCTCTGCAGGATTACGTAATCCACAACGCTCAGCGATGTTCAACAAGGTCTTCCATACCTATATCCACCGTCCGTGCCGAGGGTGGAGACATGTCAAGCACCTGTCTGCTAATCACCGAGAGTTGACGAGCACAAGAAGTATCCAAAAATGGGAACGCTTAATATGTTACACCCTCAAAACACCTAGTCCCAATGAAAATCTAGTTTTTTCCTTTCTTAATGAGTGTAAGTGGCAAAAGGCCTGGTAGGATGGGCACGAGGAATGATCGAAATCAGCATAAAAATTATAAATAAGCCACACAGAGCGACCTATATCAGAGAAATTCCCCCCAAACGATCATGCTTAGAAACGCCGAAGACAAAAACCACGCTCATGACGCTGCTTATAAAACAACGCTAAACAGCTAGCATCCAAATAAAATATGTCTTTCAGGGCTGATAAAATACAGCTGAATGATTTTAAACCACTGAAACTGAGTTTACAACAGTAGTTCGGTAAAATCACTGACGTTTCACGCGGTCGATCGCCCCGACACCAAAAGTCAACAATATTACCTCGGGACTGTCCGCGTGTTCGCTTGCATATGTCAGCATCTGGTGTCGCTAGAATGAAACTTCATAACCAGGCGAAAATTATTATACTTGACCTCAAAATGTAAAAAATGCTTCATTTTCCTTAAAATTGCATGTTAAATGTCGTATAACCCATATTTCCACCATTCTGTCATTTTTAAAAAATCATTAAAAATATCATTCCACGGTCAATTTCCTTGTTCCACGGTCAGATTAAAGATAACTTTATGGAGATTTAGTAGATACTTAAATCAGCGTGCACTTTTTTGAGACGTGATGCACTTTTGAGTTTTAGTGGGCGAACGGCCGAAAAATTGCCTTCCGTTCTCATAAATGGGAACGCCCGTTCCCATATTTGGGAACTCCGTTCCCAAAAATGGGAACGTTCCTATATTTGGGTACTCATGACCATAGTTCCGCCTACTGAGATAGAATAAATAGGATAGGCAAGGAAAGGGCTTTGATGAATAATTAAATTTGATTGAATTCTCCTCTCATTAGTATTCAGTTCCATCCTTCTCGGTTTGCATATTGCTGGTATTCTGATGGAATGTCAAATGTGAATTTGAATTGTGATTGAACTTAGGTGTATCAATATAGGTACAAAGAATTGAAATTGTGAAATATGCTCAATCTATAAGTGAATCGTTTCACGTATAATGTGAGCAAAATCAGGTTTGATAATGCCTTAGTCCAGAAGAGCTCTTACAAAATCTGCAAAAGTACTAGACAGATAGTACTAGACAGATGGCTTTATAATATGCATATATAATCTATTTTTGCACTTGTAGAAATAGAGCTAGCGAGCATCATTGCTAAGACTGAACAAGCTATCAATGATGTTGTTTCCAATTCAGTCCAGTCAATCTCCCACAGCTGTGCTGTACAAGATTATATGGTATACTCGTATTATATGGTTGCTTGCTTTTCTTCTTGGGATCTTACTTCACTCAGCATAGGACTGGTCAGCATGAAGCTCAAATGCTCTCCAATTCCATAGCTTAGTTGCACATGTTGCAGAGGGATCAAAACTCAATAAATATATCAGTTTTCCAAATAAGTATGTATTCTTTCAGATACTGTGGTTTTGTACACTGTCTTGCAAGTTGCATGCACCACTTACTACAGTATCTGAGTGACAGTGATGCTCTATAAGACCACCTTAGCTTCTTTTAGTGAATTGCTGCACATGTTAACAGGTACCTATGTTTCCATAATGAATGTTTGACCTGACCCTTGACCCCTGGTCTCTTATTTCAGATAATAATTGAGGAATCATGTCCAGTTTTTCTCGCTTCACAGAGCTTGGTAGGAAAATTGTTGCAGTTGGAAGAAATTATAGGTGAGTTGGTTGTTATGATTTTGATAGCAGAATATGTCTATGATGCAAATTTTGATTACATACACCATTTTCCTATGATGCCTGCATCAAACTACCTACCTACTCATTCATTAGTCTTTCTTTAGTTGGAAATAATCAATATTCTACTTACAGCATGCAGTCATATTTTACATGTAGGATATCATCTATATCAGGGCCACTTCATTCAAATATGGATTTCCTATGTGATATATACATATTTGTATACAGAGATTTTCTGTAGTAGATGTTTTCTGAGCTTCTAGAAAAGCATTGTTTTCACAACCAATATATCTTGTGTTTCCAAGTGCATCAGACATAAGCATGAAACAATCAAAGTTTTGTCCAGTCACTGTAGAGCTATGTTCCCTTAAAATATATTATTTTGATAAGTATTTGTTGATATTTGGTGTATTTTGTTAATGTTTTGAAAATCACATATCGGAGTCATTTCCTTTGAGTTTAACATTTTCTTTTTGCCAAAGTGGGCTCTCAAAAGTCAAAGTGTACTGTATGTTCCCAATTTTGTTATAATGCATTTGGTAAATACTTGATTTTCTCTCCATAACTATGCAACTACGAGTATGAAGGAAGTTCAAAATATTGCACAGTAACAGAAAATGGTTACCTATGCTAAATTTATTTTTGCTAAGTTTCCATTGTTTTCAGGGAACATGCTGCTGAACTGGGCAACAAAATGCCAGACAAACCCATGCTCTTCTTAAAGCCAACCTCATCATATTTGACAGCAGGCAACATCAAGGCAAGTAAACCCTGATATTTATCGGGGTCGGATGAATGCCATCGGACTTTCCGAGATACCCGCGTAAACCCCCGCGAAAAAAGGAACGGCGGATAGCGATGGAACTTTCAGTACCCTCGAGCAAACCAATTTTACACCTATCGTGAAAATTGCATGACCTTCACCACTGATGTTTCCAATACTGAATTTTCCAAACACGAAGTGTATAACTTAAAGCGCCTGAGCGGCGAGCACATTAGCATAAAGGTCGTGGCCAGAAACTATTTTGTTTCTTTTTTTTTGCTTATTTATCAAAAACTGGATACTAGTCATAGGACCTTTAAACTGACTTCAGGCCATTATTTGAATATCTGAGATCTTGAAAGTGCCTACCAGTCGCTTTGCCACTGCATCATGTAAGGGCGTAGACGCTCGTTTTCTTCCTGCAAAACTCTAGCTCAATAAGGGCGCCTGAGCGAAACGGTGAAAAAGTTCCTTCAATTCCCCCATCGACTGGAGCGTACGAGTATGTGCAAATTCGATAGCTCCAGAGATGGCCAATCGTGAAAATTAAGCGGTTTCATTGGTCTGATTAGGTAATAGCTTTATGAAATGGATTTATTAGTTGGTTAATGGTTGGTTCTATTTCTGAAAGTTCTTATATTGTCCTCAGATTCCCTCACATTCGAAAAAAACGTTTGATTAAATTTTATTGACAAAATACGTGAGCAGACACCCTCCCCCCTTCTCGTGGAGCGTGAACGTATTGGAGCCCTAGTTAAGGCCGTATAAGAGAGGTACAGATAGCCCTAGAAAGGCAACCCTAGTAAGGCAGCCCCAGTAAGGTAGCCCTAGTAAGGTAGCGGTGTAACGATCAACTGGCGAGTACGTAGCAGCAGTGAATATGAGCTATTAGTCTCAATGCGTCCGTGTTCTTTTCAGATTCCCGAGGGATGTTCCGAGCTGCACCACGAGGTGGAACTGGGAGTTGTCATCTCTGAAAAGTGCAGCGCTGTACCAGAGGGCGCTGCCATGCAGCATGTGGCGGGCTATGCTCTTGCCCTGGACATGACCGCACGTGATTTCCAGGTAGATACACCGGACTCCGGAGAGTGGGTCAGATTATATTGTGCGAGGCAGGAAGTGGAAAGGGTAGGGCAAATGCTCTGTGTGACCTGTTGGATAAGGTGTGCTTGTTTATACTGTTGGCAGGGCTGGGTTGGATGCTGGTAAAGAGTACGCTATACTTCAATGTTACGGTTATTTTGCCTTCGTAGTTAAAACCGTAGAAGTTAAAATGCCTTATTTTCTTGTTCTTATTTTAAATACATTTATTAGCATGAGGCTTAGATTTTCCATCACATATCTGATATGATCATGAGCCTCAAAGCCGCGCTTTCACATATCAAGTTCTCGTAGAACTGGCCAACAGTGGAGGAACATGCTGCAAACATGGGTGGAGAACCTGCCCCGGCCACCCCGGCCGTGGCCGGGGTAACTTTCAGCCGACCCCGGCGCGGCCGGGGTAACTTTTTCTACTTTTGTAAATCCTAAAAGCTGTCTCCATACAAAAAACTGCCATCTATAAAAGCGTCTCTCATTATTCTTATCTACCTTGAAAAGTTCTTGAAAATTTACTTTATTGCATTTTGGAGCTTCTATGTTTTTAAGCCTCTTCATCGCGGAGCCAGACATGTTTCATCAAACAGATTACAGAAATGAATCATATTTAAGGGCCGTTATCGTAAGATGGCACTTAATAACATCACAAGACAGGACCAGGGTAATATCAGTGAGATAGAAGGACGAGCTGCTGGGGCTCCCCCGCATACTCCCCCGCTCCCGCGCCAGGGTGGTGGCCACTGGCCTTATCGTAACACGTTGAGTCGAGAGGTCTTTTCACGCTCCTTCTAACTCGGCTACTGGGATACGAGGCGAGAAGCGGAACGACGTTTGAAAGAGTGACAAACGTGATCAGAGAAATCTGGCCATGTTTTAGGAAAGCTCAATAATAAAATCACCATAGATCATCAAAAGCCAAATTTCTCTGATTTTAGCGTTCTCCGACAACTTTTCTCACAGTTCATGAACATAACGGAGCTTAAACTCTGCAAACAAAACATTCGATTACTCGTTTAAGGCTCGGTCGCGAATAATGTTTCATGTGCGAGCTCAAACCCATAAGAGGGTCAAAACGGTCAAATTTGACGTTTTGTTTTATGTGAGAAGGTTGCAACTTCCACGGAATAAGCTTTGCAAAGGGCATGATGGCATTTTTAGCACGATCATCCAGCAAATTGGACCTGATGACCTGACCTAGCACTATGGTGACATGCGTCCGAAATTTTAAGGCGTGTTTCAAAATTGTTGTTACAATTACGAAATCTTCCGCACCTGCGTGCAGCAGTTTTCCCTAAAAACGCACAAACGGCAGACATCCATTATTCTATGCCACAGAATAGGGGTTTGTTGATAACCGTTAACAAATATTTGCCAGCATCATCGTCTTTCTGACTTTCGGTCGCCGGCCGGGGTAACTTTTTCAAACATTCTCCACCCGTGGCTGCAAATACCTCCGGTAGGTGCTTATTACTGTCGGTTTGAATAGGTTCTTTGAAGCATTTCATGATTAGATGCCTGCATTAACACATTGTAACAAAATCGTATTGCGATCCGTAAATACCGATATAGGCAAGGCAAAATCCTGTGATGTATATCAGTATTCCTGTGATGTAGCGACCTTTGAGGGTATATAATTTAGTGCCCCATAACGCCAAGTCTCGCTATCCCGTTTTCTTTCAGAACGAAGCGAAGGCGAAGGGCCACCCGTGGACGATGGCCAAGTGTTTCGACACGGCGTGTCCGGTGTCGGCGTTCGTGCCGCGTGACCGGATACCGGACACTTCCGGTGTGCGTCTGCACTGTTCGGTGAACGGCCAGACGCGACAGGACGGCGCCACGGCCGATATGCACTTCAGCGTGCCCTTCCTCATCAGCTACATCAGCAGGTCGGTGACAGGAACGGCGGGACGGTCCTGGCCAAGATACCTATAAGAAACAGGTAGATCCGATGTTTGAAAGTAAAGCCCCAGTCACAAATTTGACGCACCTGTGACATTTCCTGACACCCACGTGACTATTGTATTAACTTTTGTGTTTTGCGATGTTTTGACATTATTTAAAGTACTGAAAGCTCAAAATGTATGATTAATGTTGTTTAAAGCAGCATATTAATAGGTAATTATGTTTGTAAATTATCGATAAGCTGCTTATAGCATGTCACGTGATTGCTACCAGATTATGTGCTCAGAAAGCATCTTTTCAACTTCGATTTTGAACAATTTTTACCTCCTTTGAGGTCAAATGATGGACGGTTTGAGGCACACGATGAAATGCTGAATCCATTGATGCCAAAATTTGTTCGTTTTTTTTGCATTTTTAGACTAGTATATCCTGGCTCAAACTTTGACCAGTTTGTGTGTAAACCCTATGGTGAAGGGAAAACTTCACGCCCAGCAGACGTCATTACAGTGCTGCCAAATCGTGTTTGGTGGGGTCGGTCCTGGCGGGTCGGAGGCGCAGGGGCTCTGAGAGATAGTGTGTATTAACGGTTTATAGTCCTTTTGTAGAGTCCTCCTCTTGGTTTAGAGTCCTCGGTTTGTAGCCCGGTTAACCTATCTGATGATGCCTATCACATGCGTCTGTCCCGTCCCGCGGCAGGTATATCACGCTGGAGCCGGGAGACCTGGTGCTGACCGGCACTCCAGCCGGCGTCGGACCCGTTCGGGCCGGTGACGTCATCGAGGCCACCATGGCCGACCAATCAGGAGGCCAGCTGACCAAAATCACCTTCGGTGTCGAGAAGAGTAGCCAATCGTAAAACCTGGGGTATGTAGCGCGGTTATGTAGTGGCTCGATCCTAGTGCCCGTATATTCTGGTGACGTTGTTACATCCTGCAGGGGAGTACTTGACTTGTTACACGCAACGGTTTGGTAGTCTAAGGATGCTAGTAGAGTGATTTGTGGGAATTTGCCTATGCTGGTGATTGGGCGCAATAGTTACGCATCCATTCACTTTGTTGTTACGCGGATGATGAAAAATGTCATATTTTGTGAATGGAATGGTAACGTTGGGGTCATCTTTCAGCTTCATGTGCAAGCAATACAATGCGGGAGTGCCAACTCAGTGTTAGATGGTTCAAGTCCGGAGAGCAACACGTTAGTTAACCCCGCATTTTCCTAAATCTCGTTGAGCCTATTGAGGAAATGTCGAGCTAAAGCAGCCATTAAAGGGACCCTCCCACCTTAACATTAGATTTGAGTTGAGATAGCCAAAATGGGGTCCCTGGCTCACAATTACCGGTTTCGGCACTCACAACATCGAGAAATGCCTTAAATCGGAAATATTGAATTTCAAAATTGCAGCATTTTGATTCAGAGGGGCTAATGCTTAGGAATACCCCTCTGAATGTGTAACGTCAGCGCAAATATCTAACGATTTTTAAATGTTTGACTAAAACGTTTTGTAGCACGCGGTGGTATATGCTATTTGCGCGCAACATCTGCCGCAAACGCCGCACTTCTAAAATAAAGTCGCTAGAAACAGCGGAGATCCCAATAAAAGTAAACAAAAGTAAAAGTCTAATATCTTGAAAACCGGTGAATATTTTTCGGTGAAATTTGGTAGATATTCGTTTTCGCTCTTTCTGAACCGAGCGACATCACTTTCATGCCAATTCATAAACTTTTTTGAAGGTGGGAGGGTCCCTTTAAAGTACACCTCACAGGGTTGACTGAGTGTCAGGGCCAGTTGTTCCATCGGGACACTTCTGTTGTTCCAGGACGGTCTGGTCCACTGTGACGTATGTATCAGTCGGCCCCTTGCCAGATGGCGGCCCTCACAGTGCAATGTTCCCCACACTCCTATGATCAACTATTTCTGCGACGGCCGTATTTTACCGGAAGAGTTTGCTTACGCTATGCGAAGCCATCACGAAGTAGGTGGCCGACAAATTCCCAATGGAAATATACCAACTGTTTGAAAATTAGCTCGAGCTAGCGCCGACTTCTCAAATTAAGTGCTGAAATCGGGAAACTTTGATAGGCATTCGATGACCAGTGTTCGATGTACGCTAACGGAGTAATCTTTTCAAAAAATGATTGAAGTACCTTTCATCTCTGATGAAGACCTTTCGTACTATCGTCTCTGATGGCGTACGAATCGAACAACGTATAATGCTTGTTGCCGCATGCCTACGAGCTGAGTCGGGATGGGGTGGTGTAGTTAGGTTAAAATAATGGTTTGAGTCCGGGCTTGAATCAGGGCACTAAAGAGCCGTTCTAATGAAGCCGCCTTTAGTTGCTTCAGCCGGACTATTGCATCTATGAAACCCCTATAAGTACCTACTGTGAACTAGCCACATAAGCTCTTACTCATCCACCTCTCTTCTACTGGATTCTTATGGTAAAAAGTTTTTACGTTGTTAATGTGGCATACAGATTATACCGTGGCCTCGTTTTAGTTGAAAAAGTACATTTAGTGCGCAGCTGTTTCAAAACATTTATCGACACCACCTCAGTTCCCTGTTCAATTTTGGCAAGCGTGAGGTCCTTGTGGTTTTGTTTCCATGGCGACTGGAGTTTTAGCCAATGAAAACACTGAATAGTGCCTCAACGAATGGGTCTTTGCTGCAAGCAGCATGATTTCGAATAGAAACTTTGAAACGTTAGTGTCAGTGTAGTTTTGATGGTTTCGTTTCATCAAAGCCATTTTTCGTTTGATCAAAGACGTTTTATGAGATATTGATATTGGAAGGTGCAACGTGAAGTCCGTTTTTAACAGGACAATAAGTTCAATTTGAGATACAAGGAACAGGTTTATGTTTAGTTGAAGTGAAGCATGTAGGGCATGTAGATTGCGAATTGGAATCAGATTGAGATTGCGCAACCAGATCTGAAGATGAGGTCAGAGACTGCCGGCTATGGCTTTCGACCTTTGTTTTTGATCATAGCTTTTTTCTGTTTCAGGTACAGAGATCAAAAAGTATATGCAAATTTAATTGGCACTATGGATACTTGGGTTAAACTCAATGCCAGCTCAGCCGGGAAGGATAAACTTATCAGGTAAGGATTAAACGGTATTAGTAGAGCAGACGTCACACGAAGGCTTTCCAACCAAGGAGAGGCGCTAAGCCTGGAGGTGCTTCTTTTTAACAAAACCTAAACAAACCTAACCTAACCTGACCTAACTTAACCTAACCTACAACCTAAAAACCTTCCCTACAACCTACAAACCTACAGCACCTCTCCTCAGTTAGAAAATCTTTGAGTGATGTCTGCTCTACTAATGCCGATTAAACGAGCAGAGGAATATTCAGATGTTTGAGGAACTACTAGATAGGCTACCTACCTACTAAATGCCTCTGTACTTTACAAGAAGACAGTTTGAGAGAAGACAGAGTGTTTTCATCTGGTTATTTTGTTAACTAGACTGTTGAGTGTTGACTGCCTGATGATTCTGTAGAAATCCTGCTGAAATTGAAGCTGAGGTGCAAACATTTTTATCATTTAATTTTGTTAATGTCTACTGTGCTATGGATTTAATGGTTTTCAGGTGACTCAATTCTGACTTCCAAAAATCAGCTCAGACTCATGGCTGAACTATTGACTGACTGACTGGCCTTGCAGCTCTCACAGAATTGTGGAGCTAATATATTTTTGGTGAATCCAACTCAAGCCTTCAAACTGATTTTGTCTGAATTCAGTTAGGGCTATTGACTCTAACCAACTCCACCTCTTACTCTGCGGCCCTGAATTTCTATGTTTTTCATGTTCTGAATGTGACAATGATGCCTTTTGTGCAGTAAATAATTCATTAGTAAATTATGGTGAGGTTGAGATCACCTGAACTAATCCAATTTAAATTATCAACCAGCCTATCCTCACCCAACCAAACCTTATCTCAATCTAACCTAATCAAACCTAATTTGTAGTACCTGTTGATGCATCATTTCTTCAATTTGTACCAAAATTTCAAGCTCAGGTCATATCATGTCAATTGTCAGGTCAGGACAGGTCAGGTCACTAGATCACTTTGAGTGACCCAGCCTCACCATTACTTTGTGGTCTCACTGTGCAGCCAAAGTTGAGAATATATCATCAAAGCTTTTAGGATTCTGTTAGCCCTCACTGTTATCTACTGTTAGGCGCTAAACCCTACATGTTGATTATGTCATTTTTGTGTTGGTGACATAAGCTCAGGTCAGTTATGTGACCTCTCCATTACAAGTCAACTGGAGGAAGCTCAACTGCCCTCATTTTGGTCTGGACGAAAGTCATACAAAGCACTCTCAAATATCAGCTAACAAGTAAACATGACACATTGAATTGAAAATTGCACCTGTGATCCCTCTTTATGCCCCTGATATGATCTCAGGCCATGAAAGGTTTCTGGCAGTTTTTAGACAATGATTTCTGATAGAGACGTGCCAGAGGGATGAAATCGCCTTCGATGTGCTCAGCTCAATGATATAAATTGACTGGCATGCAACATGATAGTTTTGGTCAAGTTCTACTTACACCCTTGAGTCAATTTTCAAGTAGACCTTTTTAGCAGGGATGCGGAGCGGTGGAAGTTTCAGACGGCTCCGGCTCCGGCTCCGAGTAAAATGGTCCGGCTCTGGCTCCGACTCCGGCTCCGACTCAGTACATCACCTACGCGATCAATTAAATACGGGTGGACAAAACAATGGCCGTCACCTGATGACCGGTCCTCGGGTTCTGGGGATGCAGTTTGCGTGCTGTGGGACACCGGGGATACGTATTAAGCTTTTTTCATTAACGTGATGGCCCATGACGTACCACATGTTTTACTGTCTTGTATTGTCAAACCGAACTAGGTCAATTATTTTTTCCTCTTCCAAAAAGAAAAGAAATCAGATTCGCCCCCTGCTTTGACGGCTCCGGCTCCGGCTCCGGGCTATAATGTTTCACGACTCCGGCTCCGGCTCCGGCTGCAGCTCCGGCTTTGGCTCTGCATCCCTGCTTTTTAGGTCAAATTATAATTCATAGGACACGTTTCGACAAGAGGAACACGATTCCGGCAAAATCAATGTGCGAGTTCTGGGTCACAAGTCATCACTCATCAGAGAGAAAAAAAACCTGTTTTCTGCGAAGGCATCTTTTTTGACATTTGCTTTCTGGAGGCTACACCATTGACCTTAGGTCGAATCTGAGAACATTACATAGAAAGAGCGTCAAAAGAGCTATGGAATGCGATTTTCCGCGGCGCTATAGCTATATTCGTTCCCGAGTAGGTAATGCGCCGATTTGTAGAAAATTGTCGAAAAGGCAAAATGTGACCTTTGATGACATCTGATTACCTGGCAGTTGACTTGACCTAAAATTAACTGAAGTGCTTTCTTCCTTATTTTTACGCTCTTTCGAACGCCGCCTGCTGCGTGTCTACATAGCCCAGAAGACGATTTAGATGGGGGAGGTCCGGAGGGGGAGGGTAACCCCCCCCCCTCCAGCACTCTGAAAAATTCAGACCACCAGCATGGCGAATGTTAAAATTCACCTGCACAAGCAACCTGTGTGCTGTTTCATGCAGGTTCGCTGAATTCGTTCTTTAAAAAACTAAACTAAAAAAAAAAATGAAGCATTAATAGCACCTGAGTGATCTGTTTGCCCAATATTTTTACCCAGCGCTCCATCAGGTACCATTTTTTATCAGCATGCCGCCAGATATAAAAAGGCATGCTGCTTATGTGGGATATTGATCCAGTGTCTTGTTTCCAGAGTGCTGCAGTATACGCTGAAGGTGGTGAATCACTACCACCAGCAGAGGCATACAAATGCTGGCACACTTCAAACATGGAAGCAGCTTGAGGGGTCTCTAAGCTCATTCAGAAAGCGTGAGTCTTGTTGGTTCATGTTTGTCATTTTGATATGCTTGTTAGTCATAAGCCATTCGTAACCTGAACCAAGGTCTGCAACATGCATGTGTACGACCTCTGTCTTTTTGCATTATTTTCCCTGTCTCTACCCATTGCCCTTGTATGTCTCTTCGATCTACATATTTCCCTCTGTTCACCACCGTCTCTCGCCCTCCCTTTTGCAGTGCTGCGGATGGGTAAGAGTGTCGAGGTGCTGCGCGGCACTTCACGCACCATCCGCCTCTC